ACACACACACACACACACACACACACAGTGTCACCATGACAATAAAGCAAACAATGCAGCAAAAGTTACTGATCTCTACAACAGAACTGTAAACTCTCTGAAATCCCAAACCACGAATGAGCTACAATACAGTCAATCTCTGATCACAGCAGACACCAGTCATCCATCCCATCATTATCTGTACGTGCTTCTTCCTTTCAGGGTCACAGGGGTCACTGGTGCACATATCCAGCAGTGACTGCGTGAGGGGTGGGGTATACCCCGAACAGGTCACAAGYCCATTACAGGGCCATTTAGTCAAACAAGACAAACAACCTTTTACTCATGTGGAGGGACAATTAAGATTTACCAACCAACTTCCTATTCATGTTTTTGGTCTGAGGGAGGACACCAAAGAAAACCCACACATGCACAGAGAGAACATGCAAACTCTACCCAGATATCTCCCGGGCCTGGAGTCGATACGGTGACCTTCTTGTTGAGAGGCTTCAGCTCTACCACCCGAGCCAACTGCCACCTCAGCTCCATTTCATTAGTCATGATTAACAATTTTAGCTCTGCCGAGCTAAATTCTCTCTTTGAAGTCATAGACTTGATCAGCAAGTTACAGTCTACAGCCAACTGAAAGAAACAGATGTGTTTTCTATTTCTGCATCCTCATCCTCCTCCTTGGTGATTGGTTAAGTATTTACAGGTGTGACAGTTTGCTGATCTTATAGAAGCGACTGATATCCACCTCTAGAACAGATTCAATCAGACCAACAAGGTAGCAGCTGGTAGTGAAAGACGACATGTATAAACTTGTAAGTGGTTCCTTGGTTGAATAAAACTCAAACAATCTCTTGGCAGAATGGGAATGAATGAAAAACATCTTGCAACCTTGTGTGTCGACATAACACTTAGGCTAAGCTTCCTTCAGGTCTTCTACCCTTCAGTTTTGTGTAGCATCCCCTGCAGCACAACTCGGGATCATCCTGCTGCTGAACACATGCGTCCCCTCACATAACAGCTTTAGATATGAGACAACTAAGCCAAGTTTTAAAAGTTTAGGTTTCTTAACCCTTAAGGATTATGTGGGTGGAGCTTAACCTCTGAGTGTAGTAGATTTGGATCATATATCAAGGAAAATTAGTGGATTTGGATTTCATTATAAAATGGAAAAATGTGTATTTACAATACCAAAAAATTGAGTTATTTACTGTATTTTTTGTTCTTGCACAGTTCCTTATATTATATTTTTATTGTTAGTAGTAGTATCATTGCTGGTTAGTGGTAATTTCGTTTTTTGTGCATTGTCTATAGTTTGTAAACTAGTGTGTGAACCTCTGTACTGATGCTGCTGTGACACCTGAATTTCCCCTCGGCGGGACAATAAAGGCTATTCTATTCTATTCTATTCTATTCTATTCTATTCTATATTCAAAGTTCCTGGAAATTCACTTCACGTTTCCTGCACATTGTATCAATGTTTCATCAGTAGACTAAAGAAACAAAGCAAACACTGGCTTTAGAGCAAGTCTTTTCTGTTTTGTAGAGAAAATGCCATAAAGTCCTAAATATTTTCCAGAAAAAGTTTTGTCAATAGTTTAAAAATTAACAGAAAAGTAGCTACTGTACTGTAATATTAGCATGTAAAGCCCAACATGCAATATGTAACTGTGTAATCATTTTATTTGATAACACAGAAATGACAGCACACATAGCATCTCTCTATAATAAGTTTAAAACCTGAGTGGTGTAGGGGTAACCCTGGTGAAATATTCATTTCTATTTTTTGTCTTTGATTTGCTTTTACACTTATAAGAAGAAATGCATTTTAATGTTTGTTTCTATTTTCTTTAAGTGAATAGAACAATATGTTCTATATGTTTTATTTCATTTAATCTTTTAAAAGAGGTTATAATCAATATATCATTACTCAAAGTTTTATTGAATTAATCTTTGCATATCTCTTTATTCCAGAGTTTAACACTGTGAAGAAAAAAAGAGTTGAAGTGTGTTTTAATGTTTTTCTTAGTACTGACTTATTAATCATGGTTTTATCATGATTCTTAATTGGTTTAAAGATTAATAATTGTGTACTATTAATTTTTATTATTAATCCATTGGTGCAAAGGTGTGATTTATAACCTTAGGTGAAGTGATTTCTAAGTCCACCAGTTTAGTCTGCCTTACTCAGACCACAAGGTCTCTTTTTGCTGATAACAACTTGCAGCTGGTGGGAAAGACAGATTGTTTACCTTCTCACCCTCTTCTCTCTAAAAGTACTAATCTTTCCTGTTCAGACGGTTAACACTGGTCAGTTGTTCGTGTCTTGTTGGAGAGAGGATGGTTCTGACTGGGTCTCTCTCTGAGAAGTAACGTCCGTCTCTGGACACCTGCCTGTGTGGATGGAGTCTGAATGTTACTAACTGCCACGAAGCGACTGTTCTGAGGCGGCCAGCACCGAGAGCCTGGAGGCTCGCTAGGGGTGAGACAGGAGTCTCCCTCCTCAGCCCCTGCTGTCATGAACGACATTATCCTGCGGACTTCGCATGCTGTCACTCACAAACCGTCTACCTGCCTGCCTGTCTCGGCCATGACTGAAGACGTCTAAAAGGTAGAAAGAACACGTTTGCTGAGATAAAAGCTGAAGTCTAGCCCGGAGGTGTCTC